GCTAAAAGTATAAACAACTGTGTTAAATCATTTTCATTTATTCAGAAGCCGCAGCGCTGCGCACCGTACTGAGCTGAGCTTGCGTAGCTGCTGTGCAAGAAGAAGTCCAGCCCTCTCACCGTGCTCATAGTAGCCATACCTAGATTTGGATGTTAAATATTCGGCCTGTTGGGTAGATAAGATGTTAAACTCTGTTTGGAGTAATGTACGTTTCTTAAGTGAGTCTTGTGTAAAAGCATGGCAGCATTTCCGTCTAATTGTAGAATCTGATCTGTCAGCGATTTTAGCCGTTCAATATTTTTCTTCTTTTTATTTGCACAGTAAGAGATTATTTGACCTCTCAGGCAAGCCTTTAATGACTCCCTACCAGTGCTGAGTGGCATCCCAGGAGTCCGATTAACATCAATAAAAAACTTAATTTCAGAAGCAAGCTTATCAACTAAGTCTTCGTCAGATAAAAGTATCGGATTAAGTCGCCAAGGACGATAGACCGATTGCATAACAGGAACGTTCAGTTTCATTATGAGCGGACTGTGATCAGAAATGACTATTGCTCCATAATCACATTTACTCACTAAAGGTAAAATCCGTTTATCGAGGAGAAAGTAGTCAATCCGTGAATAGCTCTTATGAACAGGGGAAAAGAACGAATACCGTCTCAGGGTYRGVTWWCGAAAACGCCACACGTCAACCACTCCATAAGTGTTAAGAAATGAATTAATTGACTGGGCCGATTTAGAAAGAGAGATCCTCCCCACTGTACTACAATTGAGGGATAATAGCACACAGTTCATATCTCCCCCAATTATGAGATTATGTGTTGAAATATTAGGTAAATTTCAAAAAAGCGTATTAAAAAATGTTTGATCATCCCAATTTGGAGCATATAGAGACCAAAATGAAAGGAAGTGCATATAGTTTTCCCATCACAATAACATAACGTCCAGCATCGTCCGTTTTAACACTGGATGCTGTAAATTGCACCTGTTTACTAAGATGGCCACCCCTCTCGATTTAGATTGGAAATTWGACTGAAACACCTGACCAGACAGGCGCCTGCCTAGATTTGCACTGTCTGCCTACGCAAATGGGTCTCCTGCAAAAAAGTAATATTAGCATTAAGTTGTCTTAAATGTGTCATAACTTTCCTAAATTTCACTGGACCATTGAGGGATTTCACATTCCAACTCACACAGTTAACTGGGTGACTGTTGATGAACTTGGTAATATTAGAACTGTTCATCTATGGTCAATCGGACTGTAGTACAATAGACACAAACCATCACAAAAAAATAACCTGAAAAAGACATTCTCAAAACAAACAGATCCGGTATAGTCCCACCCCTTTCTCCTAAAAAAAAAAAACACGGAGAACACAACAAACAAAAAATCCACACATTTGTGCTTATACTGGGGGGCTTAACTCCCTGTCTGGACTCCCGCCACAACTAAATAACAATAAAAAAAAAAAAATTTTTAAAAAGGGGTTCCCGACTTCCGGTTATGGCGGCCACGTAAGAAGACGTGCAAAATTTCGCTCCGCTGTCTGCTGCGCTTATTAGGGGAAAATAACTGCTGTTCACGAAAAATTTGTGTAAAGAAAAGGATATAATGCCTAACTCGACTAAACAGCTCAAAGGGAAAAGTGAGGCATCCAAGCAAACTAAGCTTTTCGACCACAACCTCCGCGGTGAAGCTAGCAAAGCCAACAAAAACATGGCCGCGCAAGAAGAAACGAGTGACTCAGAAAATAGTAAGTCTGACCTAATTTTGGCCGTGCTCGAATCATTGAAAAGTGAGTTCTCATCGAAACTCGACGGTCTGTTGGTGACACTACAAGATATGAAACAGGAGATGAAAGACTATAATGAACGTATGTCGCGAGCAGAGGACTGTTTTTCCTCCACAGAAGACGAAGTGGCTAACCTACATGCTARCGTGAACGCCTTACAGGCTAAAAACAAGTCGATGGAAGACAAACTCATTGACTTGGAAACAAGGTCTCGCTTGAATAACTTAAGGCTTGTAAACTTGCCAGAAGGTGCCGAGGGTTCAGATTTATGTGCTTTTTTGGAAAAGTGGATACCCGAAGCACTGGGGAGTGAGAAGCTGCAGACCTCTCCGAGCTTGGAAAGAGCACACAGATTAGGCCTGAGAAAGGACGGCGCCTCCCGACCMAGAGCCTTGATAATGAAGTTCCTCAACTACCGAGAGAAACAAGCCGTCATTTGTGTCGCACGGGGAAAAAAGGACATCTTATATAAAGAACAACGGGTCCGCTTCTACCCCGATCTGGCCACCGGGCTCCACCAGCAGAGGAAAAAGTTAGACTCGATCCGGGAGGTGCTGCGCAATCTGAACATCCGCAATGGAATAACTTTTCCTGCAACGCTTCTAGTGACTTACGAAAACGAGACACTGGCATTCAAAACACCAGAGGAAGCAAGTGAGTTTATCAAAAACTCCGGAGAGCTCGAGACGCACAGAGCACTAAGTAATGCCTCAGACGCGAACTTAATTCGGTCTGTTACATGTTTATGTATCTAATATGTTGCATAATTGGGTTCATAACTTAGGTAACAATAATCATTTAAATGTGAAGAGTACCTTAAAATGATATTCAATATTAGTGTGCAGGAGTCTTTATTATGTCTAGCAGCAACGAGAGCATTTTTTGCAGAATAAGCTAAACGTGGTTCGGCTGATCCTCAATAATTGTGGATTGGCTAGTGGCAATAACGGGACACAATGGATGTGGGCGGGGCTCCACCTATTTGGGGAAGGGATTTGGAAGTAGGGAAAGGGTTATGTTCTCTATGTTGGATTTATGTTCTATCATCCAGTTTTGTTGTGTCTCACATTTTTACAACGCTAAACATCCCACTGCTTTTGTTGATGTATGTCTCAAACTGTAAAATGCAATTTTATTTCATGGAACTGCAGAGGGCTCCAACGCCTTCAAAAAGTCAAACAGGTCATGAATAGACTGAAAGAAATGGAGTCTAAAATTATATTCCTACARGAAACGCATCTTCTTGATGAGGATAATCTGAAAGTGAGGAGGAGGCGGAGGGGCAATATATATACAGTACAGCACCGTTCACATCTCATTCTAGAGGAGTTATGACACTAATAATGAATCGGTACCATTGCAAACATTATTAAAGACAAAAGAGGAAGATACCTAATATTTCAAGGCTCCCTAATGTCGGAAACTCTAATTTTAACTAATATATACGGCACTAATGTGGATGATAGTAAATTTTACAATGATTTACTCCTCACTCTGTCTACGCTTAAAGGATCTCACATAATGGGGGGGACTTTAATTGTACATTACACCCGAGCATGGACAGATTAACTGGAATTGATCAATCGCCTAATAAC